CAGTCTCCTTATTTGCTGCAGCACAGGAAGAGCCATTGATGCAGTAGACCTTTGAAAGGAAATAATCCTCTCTCAGTTGTTTCTTACTCTTTTCTTCTTTCGAGGACAGCAAGAGACCTCTTTCAGTGACGGGTTGTGGGGAAAAGTAGCTAGCTTTTGTCCTCCATCCTGGCTAACACATGGCCATGAGCTCATGGTAGCTAAAGCACATGAGCCTACGTGACCCTGAGACTAGACTCAGAGACATAGTTCCTTCTTTGGTTTTGAGTTTCTTTCCTAAGTATATAGGTGACTGAATATCAACCCTGAAATGAAGTGCATAGACTTGGTAGTGAGCTTGTGAGGTCAATAAGTCTAGAGATTTTGGACCAGTCAGGGGAACATCCTGGTGGTGTTTCAAACAGAGAAAATGATTACCAACAAGAGGTAGAACTCAAACCCTGGTCTAAATGGCCAATAGACATGGATTTTGAGAGGACACTGAAAAGCTGAGGTGAAGGATTAAAATATATATTCAGTAATCCTGCAAATCGATTTATATTCTGATGTAGCTACTTGGAGAGTAAAATTTACTGAATCCTTTTTAAAGTCTTTCTGACAACGTTTACTTCTGTTTTATGTTTGGTATTTCTTTTACGTGTAGAAAATAAATAGCTGTCCCACACCCAATTCATATGTACCTTGATTATCTTTTTTATTCTTAATTTTGGGGAGACCCTAGACATGAGTTCAAATCTAAGTTTTAAGTAATTTTCCCTAGGCCTCTGAAATGGAGTATGTAATGAGCCACAGTATAAGAAAAGAAGTCTAACAACACTCATTAGCAGTCAGGCTCCTCTAGCACTGAACTCAGTCCAGATTGCATGCATGAGTTCAGAGAAGAGGAGCTTCTTAGTGGATAGAGGGTACAGTGTCCCAGCCCTTCTGGTGTTTCATAATGTTAGATATAAAATAAAGAAGTTGTATGAGATGACCTCTACATTCCCTTTTAGCTATACATCTTCATTTCTATCTTTGATCTTGCTCAACCATATGTCAAGCGAGTTTCATAAACAGGAACAATGTCTTCTAGATCTTTTGCTATCTGATTTCTTCTTTCCTCATACTTTGAACACACACACACTACAAATCATTAGAAGTTCACATATAGTAGACTCACAGAATCAGAGCATTTACAACATAAAGACTTGTTATGGATTATCAAGTTTTTTTTGCAGGTGAAGAAACTGATTCCCAGAGGAGAAGTGAATTTCTCAAGGTCACAGAGGGAGTGAGCATTTGAGAACTACTTGTTAACAGATTTTTGTACATTGGAACCAAAAGCTGTAGAAAGTATATCTACCAATGAAAAACACTCTGCACACCTGAAACCAAATCCCACCAAGCAGACACATGGATCATGATGACTCTCCTCTACCTAGTTAAAAATAGATAACGCAGCCTACTCCCCTTCTTTGGTCACATAAGCATGACAAGGTTTTTTTGTGTCTCTGTCCCTCTATCCCTTTCTACTACCCACTCCTCACCCCCACCCTCCATGTGATTTTGTTTCTACCGGGGAACTCTAGATGAAGAAACTCCTCCTACCAATGAATATCTGCTACAGTTCTTGGAAAGCGAGTTGGAGCACTGAGAAGTTTAAATGACTTACTCAGGGTCACATACAGCCAGTAGTATCTGGGATGGGACTTGAACTCAGGTTCTTCCGACTCTTAAGTCAGCTGTCTATCCACTCACTATACCATACTGCCTCTCACACATTTGCTTTTTTCCAGGAATATTTCCTGCAGATATTTCAGGTTTTGAGAGAACCAGCCTTGTGCAATCCATTCCCTTAGGGGATTTCATTCTGTACAGAAGATACTAGTACCACCCTGGTGAGTCACTTTTCATAAAATATAACATCTGCAAGAAAAGGTTACAAACATGCAGCAGTGCCCAACATAGTTGGAAAGAGAGCTGAATTATACCAAAAAGAATTTCTACTTACCAATTAAATTTTTTTTTAATGTTTAAGTTTATTGGCTGGATATCAAGAAAAGGAAATAGCTGGACACACTGACTAATCTTGCTTTTTCTTCCCTTTCTCTCCTTTCCCAAATGAACAAGATTCTGGTCTACTTTTTAAAAGTTGAATTTGAACTCTGATATTTAAAGCCTCTCTTCCCTATGGTTAAACCATTTTTTTATAGTACCATGTTTTATTCTGATCCCTCCCTGCTTCCATTTATCTGCCTTCTGATCACATGGCTGCAAGGAAAAGGAAGAAAGTAATTCTGAGTTCTCTTGGCTACACCATTATGAAAACAGTTGGCAAAGATAAAAGATTATGAAGCAATAATAATCCAGGTTCTTAGAATAAATCATTTTAATTTTTACTTTCCTTCTTTTTTCACTTCAAATATTATTGTCCATGGCCCAGAATGACTTTGAGACGATTGGATAGTTTATGGTGATGGATACTCATGAGAGGGATGAATAATGGTCATGTAATTGACCTGTTTCCCAGGGCTTGGGGCAGCCCAAATACCAAGTGTTCTTCTGGTCACTCTGGTCTCAAGAAACCACCCAGAGAGATCTTGCCACCTATACAAACCATACGGTACATCTTGGTAGAAATGAAATATAAACAGACTTTTGGAAAGAATGCAGTAAAAAAAGTCATCTTGTCCAATAACGTTTTTAAAAGTAAATCAATTCAAATATTAGAACAATTTCTAGCAGTTCTAGTCTGCAACATCTTCTCAAGGTGAAGCAAAAGACTCAGAACTGAGAAGGGCATTAAGCTTGAAATATAAACCCATTTCTCAGGGACCCAAGTTCAACAGGTTGTCTGACAATTTGCTACAAGGAAATAGTTCATTTTTTTTTCATCTTTTGACTCTGAAACCACCCTCCAAAGTAGCCACCATAGCAGTTACAAGGTCTATTCTGAGTTCAAATTTTTTTCATTACCCAGGTATTCAAAGATGATGAAAGTTTTATAAGTTAAGAGGTTTAGGACTATCATTTTTCTTAGTCTCTAAGTATGTATTGCCACCACACTGACCTGAGAAGCATGATTCACACAGCACCAAAGCACCCCAGAAGTTCTTCAGACAATACCTATTATCCTTCTCCTCAAAACCTTCTTTGTAATCAGTTCTTTTCTTGAAGCATTATGCCTTGCATAATGGGATGTCTCTAGCTACTCCTTCTTTGACAAGTTCCCCTATTTGGAATATACATGGTAGAGGTGTTTCTGAACCAGGTTGCAAGACCTGGACATTTTCCCAAGAGGCACTTAGCTAATTCTCTGCTCCATGCTTCCTTACATTCTGTGTAGGTGCGTCTCCACCTGCCTCAACCACACCTCTCTTGCATTTTAACCAATGTAAATTACTCACTAAGGGCCCAGAGGGTTAGTGACCTGTAGAACCTTAAGCACTAAATTATACAGGTGAAACATGTGTTCAGGTACACTTTATCTAGGTCCATGAGCTCATTTTAATACCATGTGCTCGATGCTGTCTGGTTCTTGTAAGCTGTCATATTAGGTGAACACGCAGAATTCTAATTCTACTTCAGTCATTCTATTACAGATATATTTCTACTGAGTGTCCCATCCCCTTCTTTAAAAAAAAAAATTAAACCAGCATTTTACAAACTTTCTTAAGAGCAGCGACTGTTTTTTGGTTCTTATCTTTCTTTATAACTGTAGTGCCTGGCAGACAGTAGGTGCTTAAGAAATAAATGCTTGTTTACTTGATTTGATTTTTATTGTTGGGGGGGGCAGTGCTGGAAGAAATTTTAAAAAACCCAAGAATCCTTTTTTTTTCCTAACAGGTTTCCAAAAATAGACTTTTTAATCAGTCTAGATAAAGTTCCTTCAAACTCAAATTCTAATTCAATATGAAGCCTGCCTTTGAGGTTGACTATATGTAATTCAGGTGTGCACTATGCTGCATATTTTCAGATGTCAAGTATACCACTATTGATTTTGCAAGAGACTAAAATATTTTCTGGCTCCGGGGAGAAAGGCAAACGTTCCTTAGCGAGGAAACACTTGGGGGAAGGGCTGACCTTTGGATAGATTCATCTTGACTCGCAAGATTGCCTTCCTCTCCTTTGGGAAAAGGGAATTATGGGTAGGAGAATCCAAGAGCCAGGTAAACAGAAAGAAGGAACTAGTACATTGAGCATGATAGGGAGCAGCTGCTGAGAGATAAGCCACGAGAGCCTATCAGAATATTTGGATTCAGATGGTGTGGTGGGAGCATCACTGCTAAAGGAATCACATCTGGTAGAGAGTGAAAGTTGGTCCAGAGGATGGAATGCCCTCATACTTACTAGCAATGCTATGTTCTTCCTTTCTAGTTAAGTGTGCAAGCCAGTGAATTCTTTTATCTGTTGCTTTCACTTGAGATCTCATTTACAGGGAAGACCCTGTGGGCCGGAAGAAATGCTAACCTATGAGTGTATTTTACTTACGTTCAAATAAAGAGGTGATAAGATTGAGAGCATTCCTTATTCTAGAGAAACAAAAGTTTTGATCAATAGGGGCTGATATGGGAGCTTGGAGCCGTTAGGACAAAATGAGAGAGACAGAGAGAGAGACACAGAGAGGCAGAGGCAGAGACAGAAAGAGACAGAGAGACAGAGACAGAGAAAGAGACAGAGAGAGAGAGAGAGAGAGAGAGAGCTATAAGTAGATTGTAGAAGTCTGGCTTGTGAGCTTGGGATTCAGCAGAAATAAATCTTGATCCAGTGAGAGTGGCCATTTCGATGGGCTGATTTTGAAAGGAAAGCTACTCCCCTGTAGGAGGAAGTAGGTGAAAGAAAGCCATGTAGGAAACTGATCCTCTGAGAGAGAAACACACAGAGACAGAGAGATAGAGAGGGAGAGACAGACAGACAGAAAGAGACAGAGAAACAGAGAGAGGAGAGACAGGAGAGAAAGAGAAAAGAAAGAGAGAGAGAGAGATGTTTGATATAGAGGAAAAGACATAGAAATCTTTTACCCTTGAGTTTCCAGCTATAGTCTCTGTCCCTCTTCTTCTTCTTCTTCTCCAGTCCACTTCAAAAATCATCACTTCCAATATTTTCATCTTACACACGAGGAAATTAAAGATTGGGAGGGATCTTAGTAAAGCTAGAGCAATATTAGAGAAAAAAATCCTAGCCTTAATTTAGGTGTTTTAAAAGTAAATGATCCCTCCCTCATCAGTAATCAAGATTTGGATTTGATTTGTATATTTCTTTTGTTTTTTTCATCTTGATTTGTATATTTCTGACACAGAGTAATAGGTCTGTGGCATTATAGACAATAGAGTCCTTGACCACAGCTGATCCAGATGAGAAATAATAGCCTTGAGTCAGACCCAGCCTCAGGAAGAGTGTGGGACAGGTATGGTTTAGCAAGAGAATAAGAAAGGACCATAGATTGGGAGACACTGAGAAAGTGGATGTCTGAGGGTGTGTTAACACACATAAACATGAGTGGTAATAAGTCATTACACCTGCCTCTTGGCAGAACTCACCTTTCCAAGGAAGCTGTTGAGAAACTGAGCAGTGAATTAGTCCAGGGGAACTTGCAGATAAATGAAGAGTAGAGCAGCTGGGAGTGGGACAGGAGGCTGAATAAGTGGAGTGGGGAACTTCCTCCTATAACAACATTTGAGACAAATTTGGAAGAAGGAAACAATGGCATTCTTATTGGGGGAGAGAAGCTAAAACTTGTCCCTGGCTTTGCCTTTGTGTGTGAGACTATACCTCATCCTCAGGACCAGTCTGACAGGTTGTAGGGACACAGGCCAAATGAAAAAATGAGCTCATTTGTTTGAGAAGGCAATGATTGAGACTGAAGAACTGGATGAATATGGCTGTTAAGCTTCTTGCCCACAGGTATCATCTGAGAGTCCTGAGATGCTTATTCCTCCTCTCCTTTGGACCATAGTTTGGGATCTCTGCAAAGATTATAACAGCACTGTGCGTGGAGTCTGAAAGTGGCAAAGCCTCAAGTAGAATGATAGGTCCATGACTTCAGGGAGGCAGAAAGTATGCAGATAGGCGTGCTTAGCTTTCAGGGTGAAAGGAATGAAGACAGGTTTTTGTGCATCTTTAAACTTCCTTGACTAAATATCATGTCCCCTTTCAATATATTTGGGTCAAAGGGTCTAAGAATAATCCTACTGACTATTCTAAAATTCAAATACTCTCAAAAGTATTTGTTTTCAAAGCAAAATATTCAGTAATTTTCTTTACTTTCCCCCTAACATCCTCTATGGACCTCTTCATTCTTACTTTTTTCTCTCACTTTTTTCCCTGACTTAATTTTCTTCCACAAGATTTTTAACTTTTTGATTCTCCAAGTGAATTTTATTACTTTTGTCAAGTTAGTTTGGTATGACACTAAATTTGTAAATTAATTTAGGTAATATTATAATTTTTAATTGTGTTGGTATGACCTAACTATGAACAATGACTATCTCTTTCCAATAGATAAGGGGTCAAAGGAGAGGAATAGGTAATTTTGGGGGAAAAAAATGTAAACTATCAACAACCATATGAAAGAAGACTCCAAATGACCAACAATAAGAGAAATACAAAATAAACTTTGAGGTTTCATCCCATACTCATAAGATTGACAAAGGTGAAAATGATAAATGTTGGGGGCTATGGGAAGATCGGCACATTAATAGACTATTGGTGGAGCTATTAAAGAATTCAACCATTCTGGTAAATACACTAAAATGTTTGAAACAGACACATAGAGACACTCTATGGTACATACCCTTTGACTCAGCAATATCACTATTGGGCCTAGACCCTATGGAGGTCAAAGACAAAAGTTTATACATACATATATAAATATATATGTTTATATGAGCTATAAAAGCATTTGTGTATGTGTGGTAACAAAAAACTTGAGGGAAAATAGGTTGCCATCAATTGGGGAAATGGTAGAACCAATTGTGGTATATCAATATAATGGAATATTATTATACTCAAAAATGACAAATATGAAGAATTTAGAAAAAATTAGGAAGACATATGAATTGATGTAGAATAAAGTAAGAACCAAGAGAACAATTAACACAATGACCACAGTAATGTAAAGGAAAATAGCATTAAGACATATCAGAACACTAATCAATCTTAACTTCAGATGGACAGTAAACCTTCCTACATCAGAGAGAAGCTTCTATAGATGAAGTAATAGGCATAAGTTTTCAGATGTGACCATGTGTTCAATTGTTTTGTTTACCTATATTTGTTATAAAAGAGGGTTCAATGATGGGGGGAAGTGGCAGTGATCTTTTTATTTTTACGAGTATAAATAAAGCATTTATTTATAATATGTTATTATATAAATATTTATGTTATTTAAAGAAAAATAGTTTCTTATTAATTAGCATATCACTAACTATATATTCATTATAATTATAATTATTTATAATTTATTATATATAATAGTGGTTAATATTAATACTTAAATAATATTATTTAAAGAAAATGAAGGTGTTGAACTTTGATAATCTCTAAGATTTTTCCTAGCTTTTTGATCTTATGTTCCTATGATTAGTAAGAGTCAATAAGCATTTATTGAGTGTTTGCTATGGGCCAGACACTGAGCTAAGCAGTGGGGATAAAAAGAAAAGCAAAAAACCACAATTCTTGTCTTCTTTAATTCTAGTATCTTTCTTGTGATATTCTCTCCAATTTATCATGTATATATCTTGTTCACACACAGTCTCCCTTATTAGATTATAAGCTCCTTGAGGGTAAGAATGGTTTTTACCTTTTTTTGTATCTCTAGTTCTTAGCACAGCACCTTGCAAATAGTAGACACTTAATAAATGCTTGTTGATTTAAAGGAGCTCACATTCTAATTGGTGAGACTATATGCAAATAACTATGTACATACACTATACATATGAGGTAAATGGGAGAGGTAAAGATGGAGGGCATTAGCAGTAGGGGATGGAGAGGCAGGAGAGGCTGCTTTTAAAAGGTGGGATTTAAACTGAGACATCAGGGAAGTCAGGGAAGTCAGGAAGAGGAGGGGAGGAGGGAGAGTAATCCAGGCATGGGGGACAGCTAGTGAAAAAGTGTGGAGTCCAGGTGATGGAGTATCATGTAAAGGATGCTAATTAGGCATACTAATTTGAAATAAGCTAGAAATAGACTTGCCTCTCTTTTGGCTGTTATAATGAATGACTTAATATTTTTAAAGCTGCTGAAACTTCTTAGAATAAAGATAGTACATTTTGTAGAATAAAAATCTTACTAAGAATTACAAAATGATTCCATTTGACATTATCCTAGTACCATCTATCCAAGGATTAGTGAGATCTTATTTTTACTGCTGGGTCTTAAATATTTGAAGAAGTTGAACATTTCTGTGTGTATGTGTGTGTGAGTGGATATTACCAGGCTTGTGGATTAGTAGGGTAAAAATTAGCCATATCCTACAGGATCCCTTATATGTACTTCTACAAAGAAGAGGGAAACAAAAGTAGAGACTTTCAATAAATTAGCTCTTGGGATCTGCTAAGGAGATAAATTTAAATACAAAGTTTGAAAGTGTAAAAACTGAGTTGGCTCCTAAATTTGTTACTTATTTTCAGTGACATCACCAGTATGGGTACTTTCTCCACTAACACAGATTGTAAGCCTTCTACAACTTGGCATACAGTCTTCCTTCTTGTCATACTGGTTAGTCAGATGTATCAGTATGTCAGATATAGAGTTTGTTGCTAGGCCTATGCTCAAAGCCTTTCCAGTTTAAGACCTGATAGAACTTGTGATCTGCTGGCATCACCTTTCAAAATGCAGTGCCAATTCTACAATGAGGCCTTGGAGTGGTAATTTAGTGGAGTTCCCAACCTAGTAGGCTAAAATAATGATAGCTAGCACTTATACAGTGCTTTTAAGTTTTACAATGCACTTTTCCTATGCTATCTCATTTCATTAGGTGATATATTTGATAAAATGCATTCATTTATTCCAACAAGTAGGAGTGGTTATTATTGCTAGTAATGACATTGCACATCTTCTAAGTGTTTTTGAATTATATTCATGAGATCGATGATTCATAATAACAACATTAGGCATTTACATATAGCACTTTAATGTTTGTAGAGCACTTTACATATATTCTCTCTGGAGCCTTACAACTAGTCACCTAAAGGGGTAGGCTATGTGGGCATTATCTTCATTTTACAAATGATAAAACTGGGATTCTAAGAGGTAAAGTCATACAGCCAACAAATGTTAGAAGTGTTATTTGAACTTGTGTTTTCCTGACTTGTAGTCCAGCAATCTAGCCACTAAACCACAAACCTTTTTGAATAGGAGGCTTTTTTAAAACATTAAAATATTTCATGGTTCCCTACATAATAATCATTGTTTTATTAGCATCCCATGATTTTGAAAATACTTAAGGACAAAATGAAAACCATGAATTAAAAAATAAAACTAGGAGTTGTTTTTATGAAAAAACCCAATAAAATAGATAAATCATTGGTTAATATGATTTTTAAAAAGAGAGGAAAACCAAATCACTAGTATTAAAAATGAAAAGGGTGAATACACCACTAATGAAGATGAAATTAAAACAATTATTAGGAGTTATTTTGCCCAATTATATGCCAATAAATTTAACAATTTAAGTGAAATGGAAGAATTCTTATAAAAACATAAACTATTCAGATTAATAGAAGAGGACATATAATATCTAAATAAACCTATTTCAGAAAAATAGATTGAACAGGCCATAAATGAGCTTTTTAAGAAAAAAGCATCATGATCAGAAGGATTTATGAATAAATCCTACTGAACATTTAAAATCAACTAATTCCAATATTAAACAAATTGTTTGGAATGATAGGCAAAGAATGAGTCCTACCAAATTCCTTTTATGAAACAAATACGGTGCTGATACCTAAACCAGAAGAGCAAAAATAGAAAAAGAAAATTGTAGATCAATTTCACTAATGAATATTGATGCAAAAATTCTAAATAAAATGCCGGCTACAACAATACATCACCAGTTACTGTCTATCTAATTACTATCATATCTGAAAAACAGATTCAAAAATGATGCTTGATGTGAGTTTGCAACAGTAGTATTAGAAGAGCTGATTAATTCTTCCTTGGCACTATATCTGTAATCTAGGTAGCTGCTAAGGTGGAACAGAGTAACCTGTGTCTAGTCCTTTAGGCGTTCTCCATTAAAACATTTCTTAAAACAACAATATAAATTATGGCAAATACTTTTTAAGAAGAGCAAGATAGTGAAGAAGAGTAGAAGAGAGAACTAGACTGGAAGTCAAGAAGACCGCAATTTAACACGTATGGACACACACTATGGCCAGGGAGCATGCATGGCCGGGGCAGCCGACACCTCTAGTGTTCTAGACCCATTCTCCCATGATGTAATCAGGCTGCTCTTAGAGTTGCTCTCTGCTGCTTATCAGCTACAATATGGCGCCTTCATTTCCTGAGTTGTTACTGTTGCTCTCTATAGCTGCTTCCCACAGAGCAAAGGAGGGAGAGCCTTCTGGATCTTAAGCTCTTTTTGGTTCTCTTTTTCTCCTGCTCTCCCCTAGTTTTCTCAGTCTAAACTCTTACCTGAGTTACGGTTTGAAATTCTTTCTAGTTCCTATTGTATACCTGGGTAATTAGCCTGATTTTCCAATCCTGCTCCCATGGCAGCAATAGCAGCTTTTTGCACATGGTAATAAATCCATGCATTTATTTAGATGAGCCTGAGACTGGGTCTCAAGAATTGTTCTGCTTTGAGTTTCTTTCTCTGAGCACAGGTGACCAAACTGTAATCTTGAGATGGCTATTCCTAATATTGGTGACAACATCATGACTTCAAGAAGAAGGGAGCTCCTGAGTCTAGGCTCTGGTTCCTCAGAAGGAGCCAATGTCTGCAACAAGTTCTTGAAGATGATCCCACCAGGATATTACTACAAATTAAAGTACTAAGAAAGCCCGACCCAGAAAATCTGGACCTTGAATGAGTTGCAAGGACAATACAGATCTGAAGAGAGACTGAAACACCTGTTTAGCAGCCTCACCAAGTGTTTCACGCTTTAGTATTTTAAGTGTCAACCTCTTGGGCAGAGTTTAATGGTGTGACGGGTTGCCGCATCATATTTTAAGGATTTTTTTTTCAATGAATGTATGACCCTTTTGCATTTTGAACATTTCCTTTGGGATGGAGGAAATAACTGCCCTATACCTGAATTATTTTGTACACTGAGGACCTTTCTAGAGAGGACCCTGTTTATCCATTGTGGATATAGTCTAGACATGAGTCATTCTTAATTAGCTCCATTTTAAAAATAGGTTTCCTGCAGCCCTCCCCTTCCCCATTCTGCTCTGGGGTGGGGGGCATAATAAATCAGAGAATGTAAGACTATGCCTGACCCTTCTCTTTGGAGTCAGCCACTCCCAGGCCTGAATTTGGTCTTTGTGAGCTGGATGCTAGAGCCCCATGATGAAAAGAGAGAGTTTCCTACCAGGTTATGTGTTTTTGCATAGCCATTAACAATTACCTCCACTTATGTCACCCTCTTTCTTTTCTCTCCTCCTCAGTTTTACCAGTTCACCCACCATCTTCTCATTTGCTCGCTCTTATTTTCTTTTCCTACATTTTTCTCCTTCGTCTTGCACCATCATCCCATCCTTCCCCCACTATTTTTTTCTTATTTCATCCAGAGCTGTCCAACCAAGGGCAAGTCTTGAAGCACAGACAAAAAAAACCCCCAACAGATTTTACTTGGCTAATACTGTTCCGTATTGGATCTATTATTAAGGAAGCCTTGCAGGAAGGGGGAGAATCATTGACAGATGTCTATGTTGAAAAGTAGCAACTCCTTTGGGCATCCAGCTTATTTAATGGTCAACAGCTGTAACTCAAGAGCTGATTTTACAACATTATTTGTGGTTAGTTTAGATAACATTTTGGATCTGTGTTTATTACTAAAAGAAATGTCAACTGATTGATACCACTCTAAGTGTATTAGGATCATTTTTTTCCTACTGCTAACTTGAAGCTATGTTCATTCCTTTACAAAGTAGGATATAATGATGCTCTGATTATCTTCTATTAAGGAAAGTTTATTTATCTTACATCAAATGATTTCTGTAGATTAATTCCTTTCTCCTGATGACTGTTGGTGTTATAGAACCTGGTTTCTTACTGTCATGACCTTCTGCGAGAGAGAACAGACCAGCTGTCAGCTCCAATAAGAGAAAACATTTTTTTCAGAAAAATTCAGAGGTTTTTTTTTCCTCTTTAATTTGGTAGAAGAATTGTTTTCTGACCTGCTGAAGACTGTCTAAGGCAGAAATCATGATCTTTTAAGAAACTGGCCAGTCAGCCACTTAAAGAGTTGGTCCATTTGGCACAGAAATAAATAGGCCCATTTTAAAAAAATGGATTATCGTCAATATTTTGGGGAGCTAATATAAAATTGAGAATAGCTAAGAGTAAGTCTAGAGCAGCACCTGGTAAGTCAGACAGTCAATAAGTATTATTAAGTGCCCACTATGTGCCCCACACTGTGCTGGGAACACAAAAGCAAAAGACAAGTCCTGCTCCTAAGAAGAGCACAGTTTAGTGGAGCCTCTTTAACTACTCTGGATCTCAGCGTCTTTATCAGCAAAATGAAGGGCCTGGGTTAGGTCATCTCAAAGGGTCCCTTCAGTTCTAAAGAATCTTTTGATTTAATATTGTACTCTGCATTGGCCTTGTTGTACCTTGGGAGAACCAGATTTGGTTTTAAGTGGGGAATGAAGATATGTGAAAAGAAAATCTTATCCATTTTGACTACCCTCCTTTTTATGGAGGAAACTGAAGCTTAGAGAGTAACCATAAATTCTTTCCCCTTGGGAGTTTGGGAATTCTTTCCCCTCAGGTAGTTTAATAAGTTTGGATATGTATATAAGTCCTTAGGGAAGGTAGAGAAACATCTACTAGAGAGAAAAGGGGTGCTGTTCTTGACTGTTTATGGGCTCAGATACAAGCCCTCTATAGATAGTGGCTTAAATAAAACCTAAGATCTATTTTTTTTTAGCCTAGTACTTCCTGGGGAGGTCAAGGGCCCTTTAAGAGAAAAACAAGAGCTCAGATTCTAATATTCCTGACCCAGGAGGTGGTATGAACCAAATTCCGATGTTCCCAGGGCAAAGTCTGATTGGGAGCAAAATAAGTCATTATATAGTTATTCTGAAACCCTGAAGGGTAAGCCCAATCCATGTGAGCCCAAAGGTACTATGGACCGTCATTTACATGTTAAGAATTTCTATACAATTGTATATAATTAAGAATTTGTCTATAATTATAAGCTTATTGAAACCATTTCAGACAGGTTGGCAGTTATAGAAGTTTTGTTATAGATACTGAAACCCTTCCAGGTGGTTTGGCAGTTACAGACATTTTATATCAAAGAAAACTCTGAAAAGCACTATGTAAAATGGCAGGAACACAGTGGAGCTTTTCTTATCATCAAATGCAGGGGCTTTCACATTGCATAACTTGTTATCTGTTTCCTAACCTTACAGCTAGTCATGTTAAAGAAGATCTGGGATTAAAGAGTGAGGCTGATATTTTTAGGGTCAGGTAGGTAAAGCAAGGCAGAAGTGAGTAGCTGTTTGTGAAGAGCAGTTATCTCTGGTTCCTTCCAGCTCTCAATGCAAGTCACGCGAGAGTGGAGAATGACAATCAAATCCAGAGACTGAGACTTTGCATAGGAAACAGTGGGATGTGCTAAAACGGTCCCTGGAATCAGTAGACCAAAATTGGAGTCCCCACTACATTACTTACTAGCTGTGTGGCTTTGCATAAATGATTTAACCTCTCAGCTTTAATTTCCTTATCTATAAAATACTGAACCTTTCCAACTTCACAAGGTTGATACAGGGACTAAATGAGGTACTGAATGTGAAAGCATTTCGTATCCACATGGTATTATACAATGAGTTGACATGGAGTATGTACACATGTGCTTTTTGCATGTTGTTGCCCCCATCAGAATGGGAGCTCCTTGAGGCAGGGAGCATGTTTTTATCTTTCTATCTGATGTGCTTAGCACAGGTCCTGGAACATAGTAAGGGGTTAATAAATGCTTATTGACTGAGTGACATATTGTGCAGAATATGACATGCAGTTGGATGGGTAACCCACTGAGCTGGTTAGTCTATCAATATGTATTTTTTGGACAAGATCTATAGACAGAAAATGTGTTGAGCCTGGAATTGAATAAGGAGCAAGCTAGCAGGGTACATCCTTCTTGACCTTACTGTAGAATAACTGTTCTCCCTGATATTTTCTTCTCTGTAGGTTTTCCCAGCACTTCTCTCTCCTGGTTCTCTTCCTACCTACCTGACCTTCCTATCTCTGCCTCCTTTGCTGGGTCTTCAGCTAAGCTGCACAGTTTTCAATGATCCTAATCTGCTGATTGCCTCAAAACACCACCATTAATATAAATTTTTTCTTGGAGATGCTATACAGGTACAAAGCATGGGGCACCCCATGACCTCAAAAGCATCATAGTTGTCAGTTAACCATGGGGCAGTTAGGCTGCTTCATATTAACTGTGATGACAGTTACAAAAAAGATACCATAAAAATAGTAAGGACATGCATAGCCTAAGAAAGGAAGAAGGGGCAGTCATATATGAAAGTGAGAGATAACAGATGGCTACATGTTACACTAGTTTTCATGAAATACAAAAAGAACTAAAAGATCTCTGGTGAATTAAGTAGATAAATCATGTAGGATTTGTCTAGAGCAGGGTTCTTAACCTGGGGTCTGTGAATTTATTTTTTTAATTATTATTAATTTATTTTGATTTATCAACAGTCACTTCCATAAGCCTTTGAGTTTTAAATTTTTCTCTCCCTCCCTCAACCTCCTTCCCTAAGACAGTGCGTAATCTGATATAGGCTATGCATATACATTCCTATTAAACATATCTTCACATTAGTGATGTTGTAAGGAAGAACTAGAACCAACAGGAGAAACCACAAGAAAGAGAAAACAAAACAAAACAGAAGAAAAAAAGAGCAAATAGTATGCTTTGATCTGGGGTCTGTTAATTTATTTTTTAAAAATATGCTGATAACAATATTTTATTTAATTTGTAATGTGACTTATCTTACTTTTTTACATTTAAAAATATTCTGAGAAAGGGCTGATAGACTTTGTCAGGCTATCAATAGCAACAGCAGCAATCATAACAAACAGCATTTATGGAGCACTTGTAAGTTTGCAAAGTACTTTACAAATATGAGCTCATTTTATCCTCACAACAACCCTGGGAGGCAGGTGCTATTATTATCTTCATTTTACATAAAAGGAAACTGAGACAGACAGAGGTTAAGAAACTTGCCCAGGGCCACACAACTAGGTTGGATTTGAATTCAGGTCTTCCCATCTCTAGGCCTAGCTGTCTAACCATTGAGCTGCCAAAGGAGTCCATCACGCAAAAAAGGTTAATGACACTTGCTTATATGATTTAGTCCATGAAGCAATTTTTTTTGGTTATGAATTTTCCATATTTCCCAAGTTTATTTTAAAGATAAGGAAAGCAGGACCCAGAAAGATTAAGTGACAGAGCTAGGATTGTACTCCAGATCCCCTGACTACAAGTCCAGTGGTTTTTTCATTGTATTATTGTAACATCGCATTTTTCCTTGCATTTTTGTTCTCTGACATTGGTAATCTGTGAAAGTTGTCTATGATTACTCTTAGGCAACCAGAATATTCAGTTAACCAGAACTCTTTAATTTTAACCATTCTAGAAGGGTGAAAGTTTGCTACACCATCATCATGTTTCTTCTTAAGAGCAAAACATATTATAAATCAACACTGATGGAGCTACACAAACATGGTTTCATTTTCAATGACCTAATTTATTACAAGGGGCGGCTAGGTGGAGCCATAGTTCATAGAGCCAGGCTAAAGTCAAGAACTCATCTTCCTAAGTTCAAATTCAAGCTCAGACTCATACAAGTTGTGGGACCCTAGGCAAGTCACTTAACCCTGTTTGTGCCAGTTTCTCATCTGTAAAATGAGCTGGAGAAGGGCAAACTTTCTTTGCCAAGAAAACCTCAAATGGATTACGAAATGACTAAACAACAAAATTTGTTACCAAAATATTTTTCATTGAGACAAAGACAATTCAAAGAATCATAGTTTGCTAGTGTTAGAAGGCATCTGAGAAATTATAACATCTAATGTCCTTACCTTACAGATAAGGAAATTGAGGTCCAAAGAAGTTATGACAAATGGTCATCATAAAGCCATCATTTGAAGAAGTCCCATGAGGAGAAGCTACCACCCCATAGCAGTCCATCCTAATTCTTAGGAAGTTTTCCAAATGGAAAATGACAGGATGATACACATTTTATCAAATGGAATAAGTTCACTTTCCAGTAGGGATTGGACCTTCACTTTCTATCTCTTTCAAGTTTGGAAGTATGTCAGCTGACTGGACTACCTTGCTTAAAAGTCATACATTAACTTTGAATCAGAGATTTCTCCTGAAATATAGTCAGATGATTTTGTTTTCATTGAACTTTTGGTAGAAAAACCAAACTGAAGAGGACAATTTGGTAAAAACCAAACCAAACCAAACCAAACCCTGAGGTATTATTCTACAATCCACCATGTCTTTCAAAATGCAATGCAAAGAAATACAAACCACTTTCCTCAGGAGGAAATGCAGTTATTTGATCATTCCAATTCAAACACTAAACTCATTATTTTTCTCTCAGAAATCCAATTAGATCTCCATATTTTCCTACTTGTCTCAATGCTACTATTCAATTCAAATGCATTGAGATCTATCCATGCTTTGTTTTCCCATTTCTCAGTTTCCCATATTCAATAAATCATCATTATATCAATTATTTTTTCCTAATATCACTCATGTCCGTTAACTTCCTCTCTCCATTCCTATCTATTGCTGTTCCTCTAGTTAAGCCCCTCATCATCTTGTGCATAGACTGTTGAAATATCTCCTAACTAATCTCTTTGCTTTTAATGTTTTCCTGTGTTTTCTGTTCTACCTCTCTCGGGCAGAAGATGGGCAGGAACCATGCTGGCATAAAGGTGAGGCCTGATATCCTGAAGCATTATAATTATAGTCTAAAGAATTAAGGCCCTCAAATTTAGAGAAAAGTTAGGTAGGAACCCCCGGCCTAAAATTCTTTCTTTATTAAATTAACTTTTTTCAATTAACAAAAAACAAAAAAAAATCTAATTTCTCTCCTTCCCCCACTCCAATGGGGGGGAGGGGAAGGAAAGAAAAGCAAATTTTTTAACAACTATGCATAGCCAAGCAAAACAACTCCCACATTGGCCATATTTAAAAAGTATATGCCTCAGTTTGCACCCTGAATCCATCATCTCTCCATCAGGAGACAGGTAGCATACTCCAACAATGGTCCCCTGCAACTGTGGTTGGCAATCACAATGATCAGAGTTCTTAAGCATTTCAAAATTGCTTGTCTTTACAGTGTTGTTACTGTGTAATTTTCTTGGTTCTGCTTTTTTCTCTTTGAGTTAACTTCAGGATTCCCTGAAATCATCTCTTTCCACATTTCTCACTGTACAATGGTATATTCCATTACGTTCTTGTGCAATAATTTGTTCATCTGTTCCCTAACTGAGCATCCCCTTAGTTTCCACTTCTTTGCTACCACAAAAGAACTGCTAAAATATTTTTTTGCATATATGGGTCCTTTTTCCCATTCTTTGATCTTTTGGGGGGTATAGGCCTAATAGTGGTATTTATAGGTTAAAGGATATACACAGTTTAGTAGATTTTTGGGCATAGTTCCAAATTGCTTCTCCAGAATGGCTGGACCAATGCAATGCACCATTTGTAGTGCATTATCATGCTCCTTTTCCTGCAGCACCCTATGGTCTAAGCATAAGAATGAGCAGAAGCTCTCAAGGGTGAAATTCTAAGAACACAAAAATAAATCATTGCAATTTAGAAGAAATGAGGAAACTATCTAAAGAAACATGGAGATCAATTTCAATTTTTAAAAGAGGAATAGCAGCCCTGGAATCAGGAGGGCCTGAGTTCAGATCTGGCCTCAGACACATAACACTTACTAGCTGTATGATCCTGGGCAAGTCACTTAATCCCAATTGCCTCACCCAAAAAAAAGAGATAAAAGAGGAATAAAAAAGAGAGGGAAATTTCTATAAGAATAACATTAGGGGCACTAAAATTCAGAATGAACTGGGGTGGGAAATGAATTTTAAGATCAGCAAAACTAACATTCCTTTAGTTATTTTTGGGAAGAAGAGGGAATAGGACCTCATAGGAAAAGAGAATAATGATAATAGTTAACACTCAATAAACATTTATTAAGTGTTTGCTATGTGCAAGGCATTGCGCTATATGCTGGGAATATAAGTACAAACTGAAAAAAGTAGTCCCCGCCTTCAAAGAGATTACATTTTAATAGAGGGAAGAAAATTCATAAAAGGAACCTGAAAAGGTGTGTGTGAGGAAATGAAGGTAAAAATGATAAAAGATAATGGTGAAAAGGTAGAACTATTCAATGTTTATTTTCCTTTTTTTCCCTCCACTGAGAATTACTTTTTAAACAGGAAAGATCAGAAATAGATAACAGAGAGTAATAGTTGAGACATAGCCTACTCTTGATGTACCCAAGTCATCAGTTGCAGAGGAAACTACATTTCAGAGTTCTCAATGTACTGAAGTAATTGCTAAGTAGGTGATCTTAGCCAGACTGAAGAGAATGGGAGAGGAGCCACAGTACTGGAAAGAGCAAATGACCTGGTTTTCAAAAATAAAAAATGAAAACAGTAGAGTCTGTAAACTATAGGTCAGTGAGCTTGGCCTCGATTACTGGCAAAATTCTAGAATGTATTTTTAAAGGATGATTACTGAATGGTCAAAGGAGCAAGTAGTGATCATGAAGAGCCAGGAATGACTTCATTTGGAATAGATCATGGCAGTGTCATACAAACAGTGTGGCTGGACACAGTGGAGAGAGGTGGGATAGATAATTGTCCAGCTATGGTGATTTGGACCTAGTTGGATAGCCAAACCCCAAAGGTAGTCATTAATAGCTTGATATCAGACAATTCCAAAGGACTCATGATGGAAAAATGGATCCATATCCAGAGAAAGAACTAATAGAGTCTGAATACAGATCAATGCATACCATTTTTCCTTTTCTTTATTTTTTGGGGAGGGGTGTGTCTTCCTTCACAACATGACTAATATGGAAGTATGCTTTGCATGACTGCACATGTATAAACTATATCAAATTACTGTCTTAGGGAGGGAGGAGGAGACAGAGGAAGGGAGAGAATTTGAAACTCAAAATTTTTAAAAATGAATGTTAAAAACTATTTTTACATGTTATTGGGAAAAAATAAAATATTATTTAAAAATTAATAGCTTGATATCAGTATGGAAGGAAGTATCCAGGCATCTGTGGTTGGCCCTATGTCATTTTATATAAGATGTCATGTTAATTCAATTTGCAAATGACACAAACCAAGAGAAATAGTAGACACACTATATGACAGTCAGGATACAAAGATATCACAAAAGGTTAGAATAATAGGCCAGATCTAATACGATAACATTTAAGAAATGCAAAAGTAAAGTCCCACACTTGTGTTGTTAATGTTGTTTTTTTTTTCAGTCTATTTTGTAAGAATAAGACTGGGAAGCATGGCTGGACAAGGATTGCCTAAAAAAGATCTGTATTTCTTAAGGGAATAGAAGCAAAGCAAGCAAGTATTTACTAAGTACTCACTATACGTCAGACACTATGGCAAATGCTTTATAAATATTATCTCTTAAGAGGGCTACAATCTTGATATGAGCAAATGGGGTGACCAAAAGAGGTAATATGATTTTTGGGGGTAGCCTAGCTGATGATTTTTGTTAGTACAGTATCTATGTAGGAATTCCCTCTGCTGATACAGATCTGTAACCCATCAGTAACTTATTTTTTTTCCCTAAAGAGTCTTTCTAGGATACCATCAATAGTCCTCTACTCCAAAGGGATCAAAGAAAGAGGAAAAGGACCCATATGAACAAACACTTATAGCAGCTCTTTTTGTGGTGGCAAAAAAAAAAAAAGGAAACTAGGGGGAAGGCCATCAATTTGAAAATGGCTGAACAAATTATACTATAAAAATTTACTGGAATACTATTGTGCTATAAGAAATGGTGACAAGGATAATTTCAGAGAAACTTGGAAAGACCTGCATGAATGGATACAGAGTAAAGTGAGCAGAACAAAGAGAACAATTTATATAGTAACAATATTATAAAGACAAACCTGTCTCCTAGCAAGGAGTCTGTGGACTCATGGTACAGAGGGAGACATGCAGTTCTGAACAAAGCCAATGCAGGAATTTTGGTTGGCTATGATTATTGATTACAAGGGCTTCCTTTTTTGTTTTCCTTTTTTTCCCCCAATGGGGTTAGGAGAGATGGGAGGGAGTGAAAATAGATTTTCTGCTAATTGAAAATACTTTTTTTAATTAAAAAAAAACAGCATTGCTAGGGTACTGAGAAGTTAAACTATTTGCTCATGGTCACATAGTATATACCAGAAGCAGAATTTAAACCCAGGTATTTTAGGAAGGGCCTGAGTCAGGCTAGTCTCCAGGTAGCTTAGGTCTGATAGTGTAAAAAAAAAATGAAAAACTTCTTGGGGGAAAATAGGGACTACAATTATTTTGTGATATCTTAATGTACTAACGATGTAGAAATTCGCCCATCTATCTAGTGGCCTAATATTAGAAAGGCCTCAGTCACTATCCACTAGTAAAGTAGATGGTTTCTTTTATCCTCTGTTTTAACTATTACTTGCTGTCCTTGGATAAAGGGACTGCTTTCACAATTGTAAAAGTATTTGGTCTTTCTCCCTCATCTGCTGCCCTTGAGCAGGGAATGTTTTCTTATTCTGATTATAAATCTTGCTATTTGCATTTCAAATACTCCCCTTTTCTTCCTTGTCTGGGTCCCCTTTTTTGTCACGCATCACTCTATGAAATGCTTTAGTTTTCTGTTCCAAGTTGCTTCTGAATGGACTGATTGGCTGTGCACTTCAAGCTTGCCTAGAAAGTTGTAAAAACCAAATTCAGAAATCTGAATTTGTAAACAGCAAGAGCAGATCCCTTAAGATGTTAATAAATCTCTTTACTTTCAGTCTGTCCTCCTGTCTCTGGCCATCATACCCCTGCTGATGGATATGTTTCTCCCAAGAAGATGAATACCCCTGTACAACCACAGGTTAGCAAAAAATTTTACTTAGCCATAGCATAGAAGAGATGTACAATAATAACATAGCACTTAGCTTGGGTAAATGAGGCCCTTCTGGCCTTCATATGGAAAAGAATCTGGTCAGTAGGGAAGGGTGTGGTAATTTGTGTGACTTAGGGATATCTGCCAAGTGTCTCAGGCCCTTACTTCATCTGGATAGGTTTCTTTTATTCTTTTGGGTGACCAAGAAGCCAGGTAAATTGATGAGCCTTCTTCCCTTGACTCAATCTGAGGATAATTTTAATATAGTTTAAGGAGAAACTCTCCAGTTTCTTTGCCAAGAAAACCCCAAAGGGGGTCATGAGGAGTTGGACGTTATTGAAATGACTGAACAACAACACTATGGAGAAACTAGCTTATTCTGCATGGGGCATGGTCTTAGGAAAAGCTGAAGGTGGCAGAGGCAGACAACATTGCTCCTACCATACATAGCAAGACTTTTCCACTCCAATGCTAGCCACTAGTCTTTATCTAGCCCTTCATTTTGGTTTTCATGTGATTTTAGGTTGCATTAAAAGAGTGTCTGGAGAAGAAGAGATCATTGGCCCACTGTGTTCTGTCCTAGTCAGAATAACGTCTGTGATATTATATTTGTCTTCTGGACATCCCATTTCGGGAGGATAAGCTGTTTCTAAAAGAAGGCAATCAGGATGGTGAAGGGTACTTGAACCTATGTCACTTGTCAATCAGTTGGTTGAAGGAACTAAGGATATTCAATCTGGAGGAGAGAAGGCTTGAAAGGTACATGACAGGTGTCTTCAAGTATTTTGTCACGTGGAAAACAGATTAAACATGTTCTGCCCAGCTCCAGGGAAAAAACTAGAAAAGATGGGTGGAAATGGCAAGAAGCAGATTTAATGATACTGTTTTGGAAAAAAACTTCCTAACAATTACAGCTGTTAGGGCAAATGATTGGGGAGTGTTGTTGAAGGTTTTCATGTGAATCACGGATTGAATTCATGGCCTCTGAAGTCTTTTCCAATTTTGAGATTCTATGATTCCCCAGCCAGCAGCGTTTGTAAAAAATATAACAGTATAGATTGCTGTCAATGGAGAAAATTGCCCAAAGGACAAGGCAGAGGACCCCATCAGCATTCAAAGCAGAGGGCTGCAGAATCAGGTAGATACCTTAGAGACCCTTCAGGGAAAGAGAGAAGCAAGATGGTGATCTGGGTGGCAGTCTTTGTGGGCTGTGGCAGAAACTTCCGCCTGGACCTAAGCAGCTGCCAAATTGATCTTAAAGTACCGTTTTACTGAGTTGAACTGGCCTATAGGGGCCCTCCTAGATTATCTACCAAGGTCTCCCTTGAAAACTTCTGGGGACTCTGAGGATGAAGTCACTCAGCATTTGGGCACACCAGAGATGATGGACTTCTTTCTGGCTGCTTCCCCGTGCTAGCTGAGTGCTGAAGGGCGTAGGTACTTTGGAATCAAGATGCAATCATTGGCTGCTGATCCAGTGGATCTGATGACTCAGTGGACCTTTTGAAAGGAGAGAATCCTTCCATCTCAATTTCTACTGCTTCTGCTCACCCATGCAGCAAGTAAAGTGATTTGTTTCTAGTCTTCCCATGAGGGGAGGCAGGCACATAGGCTGTGCTTTTGCTCCCCCATCCCACCACTGCTCCCACAGCACTTACTGAGCTTGCTCCAGGGCTCCTGGCTGCCTCTTTTTTTTCTTTTTTCTTTTTTTTTTTAACAAGACTTGGAGGTAACTCTATGAATTTGATAGTCCTGGAAGTCCAGAGTCAAGTAGATACAACAGGTTAGCAGAAAAAGATTCCTTATCAGAAAACATGACCACGTACATCGGGATTGGCCTAAGCCTGACTGTTTGTGTTTTTTTGTTTTTGTTTTTGTTGTTTTGTTTTTTGTTTAGTTTTTTTTTTTTACCATCAAACATATACCCAGAGTTATTTAGTCCAGGCATTGACAAATTCAAATTGTTGCCTGTTTTTGTACAGCTGGCAAGAGTTAAGGAGTTTTTTTTTAAATTTAAATAAAGTTTTATTGTATTTAAAAATAGAAAAACTATTCTTAGCTATCAGGCCATACAAAAACAAGCCATATACCTGATTGGGTCCTCTGGTCATAGTTTGCTGATTCTTGGTTTAGACAATGTAGAGCAGATATGAAATGCCTAATCAGTATTCACAAATGGCTTTGTGTGCTGGTGAGGCTTAAGTATCTTCCCAGGGAATTGCAATAATAGTCATAAGTTAATGAAGCCTGTTTTAACTTGGTTTTTGTCTTGGGAGTGTTCTTTGTTTATAATTCCTTTTGTGTGAAGAAATAAAAACCCGTCCCGTACATCTGCTGTATATTGAGTACCTTTTTAACTCCCTCTCTTGGGGAAATCAAATTACATGTTCATTTCAAAATTATAAATTTAGAAAGTAAAACCACTTGTATTCCTTACATCGGATTTCTTTGCAAAAGTAAAAGACCAGTATCTAAAAAGCATAGGAATCATGACAAGAATGACAAGATTAATGTGAAACTGAATGAGGGCAGGACAATGTTATAAATATATACGAGGAGTTTTAATTGACAATATAACAGTGTTCCCTTTTTCACACTTGGTCATTGCAAGCTCAATACTATGCTTTAAAAAAATTGCTTAGAACTAGTCACACTTAGAGTCCTTTATACAGTGACGCTTTGGCAGACATGCCCTCTTTCTTATCAGTCCAGATACTCCCTTATTTCTGGCCTTTGCAAAGAGCCTTCATGTCTGGCTGTGGCCTTCAGCCTTTTTGTCTCTCCCTGGTAACTTTGCTATTTTCACAAAATTTTCCTACAGACCAACACAAATGTAGAATTTTTGAGCTGAAAGGGACCATAAAGATTATCTAGTCCAGTTCCTTTCTTTTACAGAGATAGGAACCAGACCTGTGATTCCATCGGTACTGAAGTGAACCTTATCTTCCCCCACAGCAATATATCCTCTCCCCACACCCGGAGCACGGTCCCAGGCTCATCCAATTAGCATTAGCCTTGTGGTTTAAGGGACCTTCCTTGAGCACGTGAGAGCTCCCTCTCACATGCGCAGTGACCCCCAAATGTGACCGAGTGTAATCCGAGTGACAACAGAGCAAAAGCACTCCTCCTTAGGGGTAGCTAGGTGGTGCAGTGGATAGAGCTCTGGCCTTGGAGTCAGGAGGACCTGAGTTCAAATCCAGCCTCAGACACTTGACACTTACTAGCTTTGTGATCCTGGGCAAGTCACTTAACCTCAATTGCCTCACCAAAAAAAAAATTAAAACACACTTCCTTGGAAAAAGCTACCCACCTCCTCACTTACCTGAAAGCCCCATGAAAGGAAAACCACTTCTCATTCCTCCCCCAGGGAGGGACTTCTTAGAACTTGCCTCAGGTTCCTGGGTCCATACAAACCCGAATCCTGGGCCCTCTCAACAACCAAGAAGCTTCCTGACAATGCTTGGTTCCCTTTGCTTTTTCGACAATAAAGCTGCACCCATTGATAAACAAGTCCGGCCTCTGGGTAGTTCTTATCCTTCAAACCTGCTCTCCCACTCCTGGTGTAGGAACTCCCAGGGGAGGAAACTCCCTCCACTGATGAAGGTCGGCACCTTCTCTGTATTTTATTGCATCAGAGAGCTGCTTAAAGCAGAGGTATCAGACACTACATTGTGGCCCACAACATTCCCAAGTTCAGGCTGAATCAGATTAAAATGTAATTGCAAATAGTTAATTAAATAAATAAAAATACAACAGAACATAGACAATGTCTAATATGTGATTTTCTAATTCAATATGTAGTCTCAGGGATCCTTATATATGGTTTAGGGATCTTTATGTACTGTTTAGCTGCCCCCATTTCAATCTGAGGGCACCTAGGTGGCACAGTGAATAGAGTGCCAGGCCTGGAGTCAGAAAGGCCTGAGTTCAAATCCGACCTCACATACTAGCTATATGACCCTGGGCAAATCACCTAACTCTGTTTGCCTCAGTTTCCTCATCTGTAAAATGAGCTGGAGAAGGAAATGGCAAACCACTCCCGTTTCTTTGCCAAGAAAACCCCACATAGGGTCACCAAGAGGTGGACACAACTGAAATGACCCAACAATAACAACAACAATTTCTGAGTTCAATACCACTGGCCCAAAGCCTTGAGAAGTTTAGTGACAGCTAGTATGTCGGAGGTGGGAGGCAGCTTAATCAAGTAGCAAAATGCACACCAGAACTCGGGTCACCTAACTACTAGTTCAATGCTTTCTCCTCTGCGCTGTGATGTATTGGAGCTCTATTTTAGCAATAAGAATGATGTCAGATTGCAATGGCAAATGATGACACAAGATGTATCCAGTGAAATAATATGTGTAAAGTGCTTTGTGAGCCTTAAAATGCTTTACATAAATGTTAGGTATTATCAATGCTAGAAATTTTTCAGTAAGCATTTATTATCAAATGATAATATACGTGAAGTGCTTTGTAAACCTTAAAATGCTTTACATAAATGTTAGATATTATCAATGCTGGAAATTTTTCAGTAAGCATTTATTATCAAATGATAATATACGTGAAGTGCTTTGTAAACCTTAAAATGCTTTACATAAATGTTAGATATTATCAATGCTAGAAATTTTTCAGTAAGCATTTATTATCAAATCATAATATACGTGAAGTACTTTGTAAACTTTAAAATGCTTTACACAAATGCCCCATCCTAACTGCCTTCGAGGAGCTTACCATATATTGGACGGGTGGGAATGGGGCAGGACATCTACACAGAGAAATAATTACAAAGTAAATTTGAGGAGGTGGGCAGCACTAAAAAAGAGAGACGGTCAGGAAAGGCTTTGTGTAGGGGAGAACTAAGCTATGCCTTGAAGGGAGCTAGGGATTCCAAGAGTCAGAGGTGAGGAAAGTGATCCTCCCACTCAAGGGGCGAGGGCAGGAGGCAAACACATGTGGGCAGAAGATGGAGCATTGTGTTCCCAGCAGAGCAAAAAAAGGCCAGTTTAGCTGGAAGGTAGAATGTTGAGGGGAAGTAACGTGAAATCTGTCTAGACAGATAGGTTGGAAAAAGACCAAGATGAACTTTTAAATGGCAAACAAAAGAATTTATATTTTATCCTAAGAACCACTGAAGCTTCATGAGTAGGGGAGTGACTTGACCAGACTTGTGCTTTAAGAACAGCAATTTACCAGCCTCTGTGCAGAGGATGGATTGGAGAGGAGAGAGACTGTGGGTTGGGAGACCAATTAGAGACATTTGTGATAGTCCTGGAGAAAGGAGATTTGGGTCCCATTAGGGTGTTGGCAGTTGCGTGAGCTGAGAGAAGGGAACAGATGTAATTACTGATGCAATTTATTGATTTTATATATATAACTTGAAAATTATACACATACTATATCAATATAATTTATTGATCATTGATATAAATGTAATTAGTGATGTAATTTATTGATTGTATATATAACTTACATATTATATATATTATATCAATATTTATTGATTATTGATATAAATGTAATTATTGATGTAACTTATTGATTATATATAACTTACATATGTAATATCAATACAATTTATTGATTATTGATGTAAAACAAACAAGCCAGTGACTGGCTAAAATTGGTGAGGGAGAGTAAAGAGCATTGGAGGTGCATTGGGAAACAATTCTACCTATTCGTGCTGGAGACTTAAAGCTTTGTAAGGCTTTACTGGTTTTTTGTACACACACACACACACACACACGTATGTACACATGGTCTATGTGTACATATATACATATATGTATGTATGTTCTATATGTGCACATATACATATATATTAAAGGCAGGAAAACTAGGCTGGGGGAAGATAATGTCCTTGCTCCCTGGGCTTGGCTTTGTTTCTCTGCCTTTTCCCCTACCCATTGATCTGCATGGGACAGTGGAAGGAATTTTGAAATTGACAAACTGAGAAACTCGAGAACCTTGGCAGTTTGTTAAGAATAAAGACAGATTTCACGTTACTTCCCCTCAACGTTCTGCCTTTCAGCCAAACTGGCCTTTTTTTGCTCTGCCTGTAACACAGTGCTCCATCTCCTGCTCATGTATGGAAGATGGCTAGGTATAGTCTTGTCATCAGAGATTAAAACTGGGAGCTATAACTGAAAGGTATATGCACTGTGTGGCCATGTAAAATCTATATATTCACATGGGATTTGAATTATATCTATTTGGCCATCTAAATATTGCTAGTCTAGAGGAATGACTGATTCAAAACAAAAGCTGCTTCCTGGATGCGTTTAAGAATCTTTTTTTTTCTTTCTTTTTTTTTAGGCAATCGGGGTTAAGTGACTTCCCTAGGGTCACACAGTGTGTTTAAGAATCTTGGGGAAAAGGTTATCCCATCACACAGTGTGTTTAAGAATCTTGGGGAAAAGGTTATCCCAAACTTACACCTGTAGGTTTAACTCCTTCCTACCCAAATACTGGTTACATAGAAAATTGCCACAAATAATGGACTGCAAGTAAACCTATTTATTCAAACAAATAGGTAATGGAAATCAGAACAGTTACAGATTAGAGAATCAAAAAAAAATACAGAGAGTGAGATAACACAACTCAAACCAAGAAAAAGGTCATGATCTCACCCAGGAGGAAATTTCCCGAAGTCTCTAGAGGGGTAGCTGGAAATCAAGGATGTATTGAGGAAGTGGCTTCCCTTACATGTCTGCAGCTTCCAAAATCTTTCTTTCTCTCTTCATATGTCTACAGTTGGTTCTAAAAAGAGTCTGGCACCATGTTTCCTTTCTCAAAGATAAATGCTTTCTCCTTTTCCCCAAACCTCTTTCATCAACTCTACCCCTCGTTTATGTATACAGTTTTGCACTAACAATTCTCTCAACTGAGCTGGAGTTGTGCCTAAGTAGTTGGGACACGAAACACCAGGTTTAGGTATGAGTCTGGTTACCCAAGGAATGCCCAATCTAAGTTAGAGTGAAGTCTACAAGAGAGAGACCCTAGTGAATTCTGCTCTATTTCCTAGGGAGTTTGGCACCTGCTACAAATAATCTTCTGCTGGGAATAGAAGGCCTTATTGCCAAGATTCTAGGAGGAACAAAATAAGCCACGCTTTTTTTTAAAGTTGGTGTAAGTGACCACAAAGGCCATTTCAACTTCAAAACCATTTGAATTTCTTTCTAGCCATGACTTTCCCATCTTGTACATGTAGTTTTTTTTTAAACCTAGATGTAAGAAAAAATTTCATCTTATTAGCTTCAGCCTAGCCTGTCAATATTCTTTTGAATGTCTCTTCTGATATGCAATGTGTTAGCTAGTGTCTCCAGTTTCATTTTACCTACAAATTTGATAAATATGCCATCTATTGAATAAATTTGTTGAATAATATAGAGTAAAGGGCAGAGTATTGTGGCAATATGCCAGAGACTTCAGTCCAGGTTGACATCAATTCATTTGTTAACTCACTTTGGATCCAAACAATCAACCAGTTTTAAAGCTAATATACTGTATTGGCATCCAGTCCCATCTCTCCAAGTGGCCCATAAAGATAGTATAGGGTCATAGCTTTGGAGATGTAAGGGACCTCAGGGGTCAATATTGGCCATTCCTTAAGGAAAAATAGTTGGAAAGGTTCCCCCCCCCCATTAGGGACTTTTGTTGGGTTCATGGCTAAGGATATTTTTAGGGTCTTTCCCCCTAATTTAATATATTTTCACCCCAATTACATGTTATTGTTTTTATTTTTGAGAGCTAATTTTTTTTAAGTCTTGGGATTTTAAACTAAAAGATCATTGCAGAGCCCACTCTTCTTCTGAGGCACTGAAGGAGCTATAATCAAGGGCTTCAGCTGAAGCTGGATCACACCATATGTCTAATAGAAAAGAATAGGAGCGGGCCTTATTGGAGTAGTATGAGATATGCATATATATACACACACACACATATATATATATATATACATATATATATATATATATATATATATAAAAGCATATATATGCACATATAAAATATATGTATATATACACACATGCATATATGAGTATATATACACATATAAAATATATGTGTGTATATATATATATATCCATATCCATATCTCATACTATTCTAAAAAGGCCTGTATAAGTGTGTATATGTAATATATATGTATACGTATATATGGTATATATGTACACATAAATACATATATACTTTAATAAGTGTATTTCAATATTATTTCTTTCCTTTATAATCCTATATATTTTATATATACATTTTATTCATCTCTTAAGCATTTAAAAATATGATTCTGAGGTAAAGGGTCCCTAGACTATACTATATTGCCAAAGAGGTCCATGACTAAATAAAGGTTAAGAAGGTTATCCAGGGGCAGCTAGATGGTACAGTGGCTAGAGCACCGGCCCTGAAGTCAGGAGGACCTGAGTTCAAGTCCGGCCTCAGACCAAACACTTGACATGTACTAGCTGTGTGACCCTGGGCAAGTCACTTAACCCCAAATGCCTCAAAAAGTAAAAACAAAAAATAAAACAAAACAAAAAAAAATAAAAGGTTAACCAGAAAAAAAGTAGAAGTGAATTAGGACTGAAAAGTCTATACTAGCTTAAAGGTTTAACCTCTGAGTGGTTCAATGAACATTAAGTCCACACTGATTAATAGAGCAAGTTCACATTATGTTTTTCTTCATCAGAAGCACCTGAGGGCTGGAACTTTATCACTAAAAGAGACAGTTAGAAAGACAGATTTTGAAGGGAGGATGTTGAGATACTTTATTGTAAAGCCTTGGGAGAGTGACAGGATAGCTTTATTTGGTAAAGAAAAGCAGGTAAGAAAAATGCTTGAAGCTTTCTTAGAAACTAAATAGACTTGCAGGCTTTCATCTAATTCTGAGAAATTTTTAAGCCATTTAATGACTTAAAAAGCACACACTCTGTGAAGTATTCAGAAAGGAATTACTGCTGAGAGCTAAGAGAGGGAAGTGGCAGTTTCACCAGATTTTGGGAGAAATAAAAACAAATGAGTCTGCTGGTAAAAATATCCTGAAAGAAATTTTGTAACAAGCCTGTGGATTACCCATTGAAAAAGTGGATCTTAAGAGTACATTAGATACTGAAGAGAGAAACTACAGGTGAAACCTTGATTTTTAGCCAGTAAGAGGAAACTAATTGCAAATGCCTTGAACATAGTAGGGCCACCGCTTCAACTAGCCCCATAAACCATGATCTTATAATTAGCCTTTAGCCCTTCATTAGAAAGAGCCCAGACTTGAACTACTCATGTCATTTACATGCATGATTATTTCAGCACGCTTTTAATTGTGAGATCTAATAAATTCTGGTGCACCAAAAGAAATATAGTGAAGCCTTTTTGTAAAACCTCTTCCTACAATAACCACCTGCTAACTGGACTTAGATTCTTGGCTATCGAAGATGAATAATCGTACTGAACATCACAACAATGAGCTTTGCAAAAGTTATTTGACTATTTCTGGGATTTCAAGTATTCTAAATCTAAACTTATAGACTGTTCTTACTTATGTAAAGGTTCAGAAAATGACTTGAAGTGCCTAATTTTTTTTCTTCTCCTTGCTCTATTTTTTCTTTTCTGAAATTTCAGAGTTAATGTCCAGCTGCAGCAAACCTTGTATGATCTCTTAACACTTTTGACATAAGACCAAGAATATGAATTTGGAGTGAGCCTGCAAATAGAGAATTCTTTTCTCTCTCTCTTTTTTTTTGTTGTTTCTTTCTTTTTAAGAATCATGATCCCTTTTCTGCTAGCTGTTACTCATTCTAATCTTGTTAGGTATATAAATTGTCTCCAAAAATCATTATCAAGTCAACTGCAAATGTGTTAACTTATGGAGAAAACAAACAGGAAAGTACAAGAATGAACCCACTTACCAGTTAATTTTCTGTCAGCAAGAGAGGTTATTGTGATCCTGGGTGTAACCTCTGGAGTTCAGAATGAAAAACAGTGTGGATTTCAGAACAACTGTAGTGCACAGCTTTCCCAGCCTCCTCACTTGGCTTTTGAAATGACACCGTGGATGAGGAAGGATGCTGGTTCTGCAGCTTTTATGCAACTCTCTGGAACTAGTTGTGAATGTGGTTCTTCCCCTCCTCCCCTGCTGCTCTCCATAATCATCTACTTCGGGAGACAAGCAGTATGCATATTACACAATGGAATAATTTTGGTCAGGGTGCCTGGGTATATGAGTAACCTTGGTTTACTTTCTGAAAGGAAATTGACACCATGGGCTGCATAGTGCAGTTTTAAACAAGGGAGAAAGTTTCCCTTTTTAACTTGCATTTCAGTTTTGGGGAAAAGATATATAGGTATACATACACATACATTTATGGGTATATGTATGGAACCATTGGGGAAAAAAATTACATTACATAAGGAGTAATTGGGTGGTAAGGTGTTTCAGAAATGCCAGAGAGGGCTTTTCCAAATGATCCTTGAAATGAATTTTATTTATAGTTGCAGATTTTGGGAAATCATTTCAAAGTCAGGTAGTGATAAAAATATACCTACAGATTTCCCAACCAAGTCCCAGTTTCCTTGTGTTCCATTAATAAGTGAAGGAAATAATTTTTGCCAATTATCTATCTACAGGATGGCCTCTAACAATGGAATTAATGATAATAATTTATTTTTTATTTTAAGGTTCTTCGGAGAAAGAATGTCAATACATAAGAATAAGAAATGGTTTCACTTCTAGGGAACTGCCCTGTGTGTTTTAAGACTAGCTTTGGGCAATCTGGAGGATTTTACTGCTCTGGAAAAATTGAAGCTTTGCCTCCACCCTTACCCCTCCAACACATCTGTCTGCAGCAGTAACTTATGGGGTGGAATATTGACCCTGGTGAGCCCCCTTACTAGAGGGTTATCTTGGCTTTTGTGAGCTTTTTTTTTTAAAGATAACCAGAGGTCTAATGACAATAACGACTCATACAGCACCCTACAATTGCAAAATGTCTTGCTCCTATTACTTCAGTTCATCCTCACATAATTTCTATAGGGTAGGGCAGTGCCAATATAATTATCCCTCCTTTATAGATGATGAAACTGAGGGTCAGAATTAAGTGATTTGTTTGGGGTCAATAAGTAATAAGTATACTAATAACTGTACTTACAAGTAATACTTGTAATAAGTAGTAGAGCTGGCATTCAAATCTTTCCTGATACCAAAGTGACTGTTCTTTCACTCCCTTAACAATAAAGGCCCTTAGTACCTTTGTCATTCAATAAGCATTTATTAAGCACCTACTCTGTGTCAGGCATTCTGCTAAATGCTTTGTAAGAAAGAAAATCTAAATATCTAAAGTATTGACCTAAAGAAAGTGGTAAAAGTAGTAGGTTGGATATATATTACATGGCTGAAGGCTATTTGTGTGAGTTATTAGGACCAGATGGATTGCATAGAACCAGACAACCTAGTCATTGCTGAAAGCACTAAGCCCTTAGCACAGTGCCTGACAAACAGTAAGTACTTAATAAATGCTTCTTAATCAGTCAATAAACATTTATTAAATGTCTACTATGTGCAAAGCATTGTGCTAAGTGCTGGAGATACAAATACGAAGAAGAAAAAAACCAGTCTCTGCCCTCACAGGAGCTTAATAGCTATTGTAATATAATTGGCTTCTTTTGTAATTAATCAATTCATTAATTATGGTTAGCAAGTAATTAATAGATTGAGGTCAGTGGCTTTCTCTTGTAAACCAAAGACAAACCTTGGGGTCACCTGAATGCTTAAATACCCTTGGAAGAGTGGGTGTTCCTGATGAGTGAAAATCAACACTGATTGGTTAACAATTAATGAGAAAATAAGTGTTATAATGAGGGGCAGGCTTATTCTAATGAGAGGCTGGGGATTACTGATTATGTAGCTCTTGCACAAAGAGACTCATCTCTACTGGAATCATTCTGCCTCCAGCAATCTATACAAAAGGATTTATCCTCCACCCAAACTACTTATGCAGTTAAACAATGGGCCAGAATTCACCTAGATGGTCTTTATCCAGTAATCAAAACTAAACTTTCCCATTTGGGTGGGGTCCCACTGAAGAATGAACCCAATTTCATCAACAGCCCTGTCCTTCAGAGACCTTGACCTAGTAACTAAAGGAGGAGAAATGGAAAAAAAAAACCAACAAAATCCTGGATCCCCCCCCCCATATTAGTAATTGGTAATTAATAATTATTTTTCTCATTCTCCCACTTGATTCTATTGAGACAGAGTCTCCTCAATGAATCAATAGCTGATATAAGAAACACTGCATGAGCAATTTTCAAGGCGAAAAACATATTGTTAGCAATACCTTGGAAAAAATGCTTAATATCATTAAAAATCAAAGAGATGAAATAGCACTGAGGTACCACTTCACATCTATCAAACTAGCAAAACTAATCAGAAGTAATAAAAACTTCCTATTGATAGAGTTGTGGAAAAAGAAGTCATTGCTGGTGAAATTGCAAACCAGTAGATCTTTTCTGAAAACAGTCTGGCAGTCTGAAATAGTAGTTACAAGTAACTTAAAAGTTTAATAACATGGACTGGTTAAATAAAACTGGGGTATGTTAATTCATAATGACAAATATAAGAAATTTAAATGTACAAAATTTTAATGAAATATGCAAAGTGAAAAAGAATGAGAAGAATGGAATACACATGAACTATGACTATAGAAGAGGAAAAATAAATAGAAGTGAAAGGACAAAGAATCCTGACTGAAAAGTTATGACTTTTGAACCTTAAAATTAAGCTCTTTAAATTAAAATAGTTGTGAAGCAAGTCTGACTAATTGTTTTTGTTTTTTATATTAAGATCATAATAATTTTTTATTTTATTTTAGGTAAAATCATGTTAAACATATTTCCGTATCAGTCATGTTGTGAAAGAAGAATCAGAACAAAAGGGAAAAACTATGAGAAAGAAAAACCAAAAAACAACAATAAAAAGAGAGAAAACAGTATGCTTCGATTTGCATTCAGACTCCACAGTTCTTTCTCTGGATGTGGATAGCATTTTCCATTATGAATCTTTTGGAATTGTCTTGGATCATTGTATTGCTGAGAAGAGCTAAGTCTATCAAAGTTGGTGTATACAATGTTCTTCTGGTTCTGCTCACTTCACTCAGTATCAGTTCATGTAAGTCTTTCTAGGTTTTTCTGAAATCTTCCTGCTCATCATTTTTTATGGAATAATATTATTCCATTACATTCATATAACTACAACTTATTTAGCCATTCCCCAATTGAGGGGCATCCCCTCAATTTCCAATTCTTTGCCTCCACAAAAAGAGCTGCTATAAATATTTTTGTACATGTGAGCCCTTTTCCCATTTTTATGATCTCTTTGGGATACAGACCTAGTAGTGATATCGCTGGATCAAAGGGTATACACAGTTTTATGATCCTTTGGACATAGTTCCAAATTGCTCTCCAAAATGGTTGAATCAGTTCAAAACTCCACCAACAATGCATTAGTGTTCCAAATTTCCCACATCTTCTCCAACATTTATCATTTTTCTTTTCTACCATATTAACCAATCTCATAGGTATGAGGGCTGTTTTACTTTTCATTTCTCTAATCAATAGTGATTTAGAGCAATATTTTAAAAAAGAGAGCAGTAAGCTAAAAAAGAAAACACTACCTAGAAATAAGACCAAATTATCTATTGTATCCAATCCTAATATCTACGACTAAATTACCAAACCACTGAATTTATACTCATACTCTTGCAATTTTTTCCCCAAATTCAATGTGGGATATTTTGAGTTATCAGTTATGCAATTATAGCCTGAGCGCCCATCAGTGAAATATTCGCTACTCAGAGACCAAGTAAGCCCAAATTCAATAGTAAAGTATTGGATTTAGATATTAAAAATAGATAACAAGGGGAAAATAATCAAGCAGTAGATTTGTTCTTAGCTCCCCATTTATACATAGGCATAAGCAACATCTCCAGAGGTGGTGAATGGGGGAAAAATCTCAAGGAAAACATATAGGGGTAGGAAAACTATTCCTCCTGCAATTTGATGAATAGGAAAAGGAAAATCACTTGTTTCCCCATCTCTTCTCAGTTGGTCACTTTCCATGACCAGCAAGAAGACCTAGTACAGCTAATTGGGAATATATTTACTTTGGCTCTGGTTCTGGGTTAGTAGTTCCTTTCATATGGAATAAATTTTCTGAGTTTCCACCCTCTGTAATTACCAAAGCTCAAACATGCACAACACAGGCTGAAACGCTAGTTTCTCTGGCTCATTAGATTTTGTCCCACAACAATGTATTGCTCCAGGTCAGCACGCTGTCTAGGGCACCTTAGGAACACCCCCTTTCTGTGTAGTTTCCCTTCTGCTGACTTCCATCTTCTTCCCAATGTCATGCCTTTTATCACACTTCCATCATCCAGGCACAAGTCTCACAGAATTATGATGTCTTATGCTTTACTCCAATGAATGCTAGCTCCCTTGCCTCTCCATTGAGCTGTGTCAGAGAACTCCAACATGGGCAAAGGCAATACCTACCTGAATTACATGTGTGTTACGTGAATTTTGTGAAGAGAAAAAAAAATGAATCTCTCCTACTTCCTGCTATTTGGTGACATTGTAAACAGATAAGAAGGGACAAACTCAAACAGGAAGAGTGACTGTTTCCATCTAAATGTTCAACCCACAATCTTTCAACCAATAAATTAATTGAAAGTCAAGTCTTTATCATATTGTTTGCATTGAGGTGATATAGAATCCATTCTATCCCTCAAAAGTTGGGCTTTTTTTTTTAAGGTTATAGGTTTTAAAACAGTATAAGCTAGATTCATTTTAGAGATTTATAGCTAATGTTAATATTTTTCTTTTCTTTTTTTAAATTGACAGCTATTTATTCCTTCTCTTCATTACCACTGTAACAGAAAAACCAAAGTCTTGTAACAAAAAATTTATGGTAAAAAAAAAATTCCCACATTGGCCATTTCAGAAATGTGTATCACATTCTGCACCGTGAGTCCAGTATCTCTCTTTCAGCAAGTTGATAGCATGCTTTGTCGTTGATCTTGTGGAATTCTGGTTGGTCACTGCATTGATAAGATTTTTTAAGTCTTTCAGAGTTGTATTTCTTTACATGTTGCTATTATGCTATAAATTGTTATTTTTGTTCTGTTCACTTCACTCTTCATCAGTCTTTCCAGGCTTTTCTGAAACTCTCTTTTATCATTTCTTATAGCACAATAGTATTCCATTAAATTGATATAACATAATTGTTCAACAGTTCCCCGATTGATTGGCACTGTCTGCATTTTCAGTTCTTTGCCACTACAAAAAGAGCTTCTCTAAATATATTTTCTTGTTCATATGTAGACTTTTCTTCTTTCTATAGTCAGTGATTAAGGGCATTAAGGGCAGACTCATGTTGAGTATGTAGATCACATTTTTTTATGTCCTGAGCCCAGAGCCATAACTAGCCTGTGGAAATGGGGCTTTACCCCTGGGTGCTGACATCCAACGAGGTGGTGTCCTTTTTCCCTGAGAGGATCTTCATATTTTCACCTTACCTTGTAGTATTCTACCAGCCTATCAATCTACCAGCCTTTCTCAGTGTGACCACTTTAGCACCAATGTATATACCATCACTCTTCTTCCCAAGACTAATTTCTATTTATTTCTCTGTATGGATCATTGAAATTCATTTTTTATACCTAAATTCCATTTAGGGATGATTTCAGAAGCAGAGAAAGCCCTGAACACATGTGTGCACACACACATACATATACACACACAAAAAAAATCTCTCCCACACTCTTTACTGATTCCTGGAGGGAGGGAGAAATGAAGGGAGGAAGAAATGAA